CCCCAAAACCCCAAAACCCCAAAACCCCAAAACCCCGAATCTTGTCGTTTTAATTAAATTATTAAAATGAGTAAGGGAAGTCATCTCCTTGATGCCAATTTATCTATGAATAACAAGACTAAGCTCAAGTCGGCAGCCAGTAGGAGAGGCAGTTATAAGAGGGCCTCTTTCAAAGCTAATACAACTGCTGATGAGCTAGTGGATGGCCCTGTTCCAGATAGTGTTTTTAAAGGTACAGCTTTGGGCAATTTGAGTTTAAAATTTAGCGATTAATGCGATATTGATCCCTATTAAGGAAAATATCAAGAATCTTGAGTATGACATGAAGGATGCCTTCGCTCAGTTAGGGCTGAAGGCTGGCCCACAAGAGATGCTAGAACTTGACAGGAGGTAGACTCAGAGGTTTTATTCATAAATTCTAGGTTTGAGCTTTACTGAACAGATTACAAATTTTCGACATTTGAAAGAAGCATTTACAACAAACAATAGATGAAATGATGGAACAACTTCGTGAAGAGATTAAGGAAGTTCATGATTTTGCAGATTCCAGGGTCAGCTATGAAGGTCTTCAGGAGCATGTCGAGTAAGCTTCTTTATAATTTCTAGAATTTTACGTGCAGAAATGGGGCAGATAACTACAAAACTGGTAGATTTGAAGAAGTTAGACATGATCCAAAACACTATTGACCAGCAAATCTATGAAATTCGTAAAAAGCAAGGTGCTAGAGACACCACTATCGATAATATAATCGTAAAATTTGGGGATATGTCAAAAAGAATGGAGAATTTTAGCTTGAAAGAAGATGTTAAACTAGATATTCAGCAGTTATGGAACCATTTCGATCATTTCCCAAAAATAAGTAAATTAGCTAAGTATAAAGATGAGATCACCCCTATTGTTGATAAGTGCAAGGAAGATGTAGAATATCTCAGCAAAGAGGTTGATAAAAGTAAGAAAATTATCTCCAGATTTGATGAAGTTATGCTCGAGAAGGCCTCCAAATTCTCTGTTGACCAACTCCGTAAAGAATGCACACAAACTTATGCTAAGTTACGTGAGTTTAATGAGTTCAAAATAATAACTGCTGATGATGAAAGAGAGATTAAAAATGAGATTGCTGAAATTAAGTCTATTTTGGAAGAGTCTCATGATAAACTTTTCATAAAACTTAGTGACTCTATGGATAGGTATGCTAAAATTTTGAATGCTTCGTATGGAAAACCTGTCAATGCAAGCGAACTTCACATGCATCTTAATTGTAAGGCTGATAAATCAGAGACTGAAGGTCAATTCGATGTGAAAGCTGATAAGAAAGAACTCAATTTAACCGATCAAAATATTACTGCTTTACATGAGCAACTTAACCAGCTGGGTGTGCTACTTTGAGAGTACGTCCAACTCGATTTCAATGATCCTCTCGAATCAAAATCTAAGATAATTAAAGATAAGAAAGAGTTTATAAAGAACATGAAAATTTACGTGAACTGGATTAGGAAACCCTTGGATTCAGACTCTCCAAAATTCACTAAGCACAAGAAGAAGGAGATTAAGAGTATTTTTGTTCTAAAATTATAGAGAAATAACAATACCTTCTTACTTGACAGTAAACCAATGAGCATCAGACCTCTAACCTCTCTTTCGAAAGCCTCTTTTGAACAAAAGAATCAGAAGAAGGAGAAGCATAAAAGTAAATATATGAGATTTATTATAGATCGTTCGAAGAATAATTTGAAAAGATACATGTTTTCTCTTGTTCACAAGAGAGATAGGAGCCAACAGAAAAGTTCTCAAGATGATAATGATAGCCCCAGGCCTCTATCTCCTGATTCCCAGATCAGAATAGAAGTAAGCTGTAATATAATTCATATAGAACAAGCAAAAGATAGTTTTCCCAGACCAGCCAGCTCAGATGATCAAAATGTGGTCAAGAAATAGGTTGTTGAAGAAGTCAATTTCAAGGGTATTCTCCTGGTTTAACTCCTGTACAGAACATTTTTACACCAGAGCCAAAATCAACCGAGTACATCAGACCTGATCATGGAAAAAGGAATACTTCTCAATTGGTAGACTCTACTAAGTACCTTCCATTTATGAGTCCTATTAATGATTAGAAGGATTTCAATGCGTTTCTTTTGAAATGGGGTTTTGGGGTTTTGGGGTTTTGGGGTTTTGGGG